TGTATACAGAAAGCGATGACCATTTCCGGAGCGTCAAGCTGCGGCCTAGCTCGACGCCCCTTAAAGTTTTGGATCTCTGCTCGTTCTCTGGAGCTGTTCTAACGCCGCAAAGATATGCCGACGGAATCCGATTACAATGAGCGGCACCGTTCTGCCAACCAGCTGCTCAAGCAAAGCCTGGGCAAGGATAGCGTGGCGTGGTGGTCTGAGCGTGCTTTAGAGATGGAGATTGCTGCCCTCTCTGGCAACACTCGCAAACTGTCCCAAATCATCCGGTCCACTGACCTCAGGCAGCCTGGTGTCAGTGAGATTATTTACGAGGTGGATGAGTCTCCGAGCATCAACCAACAGAGATGTATAGACCGCTGGGCCGAGCATTATCACTCGCCGTTCATCTGGCCTCCACCGTTCATCAGTTCATGCGGTACACCTATTTATCCACCCTGGCCGATCCCAGTGAATCCATCCAGCGAAGCGGAAGTGCGCCTCGAGATTCGACGCTTGAAGCGGTTCAAGGCTGCCGGCTCAGATGGACTTCCTCCGGAGCTGTACAAGTACGGCGGTGTAGCGACCATTAACCAGCTGACCGCGCTGTTCACAAAAATCTGGCATGAAGAGAAAGTGCCTTCCTCTTGGGGCGAATCAGTTACTGCCCCGATTTGCAAGAAAGGTGCTCGCACTTCAGGTGTAAATCACCGCGGTATTAGTCTTATTTCGGTTGCCTCCAAGCTATTGGCATTCATTCTGCTCCGCAGACTATCCCCAATAAGTGAGTCATCCTACCTTGAAGAGCAAGCCGGTTTCCGTCCCGGCCGCGGATGTGTGGATCAAACCGTCACGCTCCGCCAGTCCCTCGAACATCGCCACATTTATCACAGGCCCACTATTGTTGCATTCCTAGACATACGTGCCGCTTTTGACTCCGATGATCGATCTGCTTATGGCGTTTCTTGCTAAAGAGCGTGGTGCCAGAGAAATATACCGCCATCTTACGAGTACTTTACCTCCACAGATCCGGCAGTGAGGGTTTATGGCAAGCTTTCTTCGTAATTCGCTGTCAATAGCGGTGTGCGACAGGGCTGTCGTATGTCCCCATTCCTCTTCAACTTCGTAGGTGTTCTGTTGAGTGCTTTAGAAGGTTTCCAACATATTGGCCTAGAGCTTCTACCGGGTGAACGCGCGACCTAGATTATGTTGTTGACAACGCCTTACTTGATGACGATCCTCAGGGTATGCAACTCATTCTAGATCGTTTGGCAGTTGAAGCATCTAAGTATGGCATGAGCTTCGCCCCATCGAAGTGTAAAGTACTCCTCCCGTGCTCACTTTAGAAGGTGCACAACTCGAACAGGTAGATAGTTACGTATACCTTTGGAGCTTTGTTCCTACTGACCGCACTATCAGCAGAAGTTTCTCTCCGCATCGCTAAAGCCCGATCAGCATTAGACAATCTGTGACACTTGTGGCGTCGTCGCGACGTCTCATTCGCGCCAAAGGACCGCGTTTATAGCGCCTCTGTTCGCTCAGTGCTGTTGTATGGGAGCGAGTCCTGGCCGATTCGCGTGGAAGACATGCGTCGTCTTTCTGCCTTCAATAACGGTTGCTTATGGAGGATTGCTCGTGTTTGGTGGCCACCGAGTTAACAGTAATGACGTTCGACGTCGAATCTTAGGGAATGCGAGTACTCAATTCAACAAAATGGTTTTGCTGCGCCAGTTGAGATGGCTCGGTCACGTCCTATGCATGACACCTGAGCGTCTACCGCGTCGAGCTCTATACGCTGGTCAAGGACCTGGCCGGAGGCGACCGCGCGGTGGTCAGTCTTCTACTTGGCGACAGCACATGAAATCGCTGACGTCCTATCAAGCCGTTGCTGGATCCGTACCCCTTCAAGGATGGGGACCCAAAGATAAGGACTGCTAATGGATCAACACTCTTGAAGTCATGGCCCGCTATCGGAATCAGTGGAGGAATTGTGTACAGAAGTGCAATGATTCACATGTTTAATACTAAAACATTAAAAATGACAAAGAAGAGAAAAATCGGCATGTGAAACACAAATTAGAAACATTTTCTTCTACTTTTTGTCAGAATGTTGTTTTCTTCCTGCGGCATATTAGCTGAAGTGTGTTGCTCACCTTCAACTACAAGGCCACGATGATTAAGACGTGAGGACTTCCCCTTGACCGCTAATCTCCATGGTTTTTAATGGCTCAATGTCTAGTTGAGGTTACATGGTTGGCGGCATCCGGTTTCGGATTTGGTTGTCACTGTGGTCAGCTACAGGACGCCTGCGCCTACAGAGGGACCATGGGTGGCTTGCGCTGCACCACCCACAGCTTCAACCACACACACACCCCATATCCAGTGTAAACCCGAAGGAATAAGACCGGGAGGCATGCGGATGGGAGCCACGTTTCATCAACGGAGCCGGCCCACACTCCTTCACAGGCAAACACAAGCACGCTGTATTTGGGGAATCAAGCGCACACAAGGCGGTGGCTGGACCGTAGTCCGCTCCACACTGAGTGCATGAAAACACACTTCGAGCCTAGCACGGCCACAAGGACCGTGTACCCCGTCCACTCCAGCAACGACCAACTGTCTACTGGAGCCAGTATGGACGAGGTAGTGGGTAATAAACAGGTGGGCACCTTGTGAACATGCACACCAAGAGCAGCCACACCTGGGATGTAAAACAACAGCCAATCACTTGTAATGACATTACCAAATGAAATATGTCTGTTAAAAATTACGGCTATGCAGATATAACTCTTAGCTAAATTAGCATATGAAATAAGTTGGTTATCAAAGAAAAACGACAAGTAAAAAATTTTCTAGAAATACTCAAAAAATGCTACAAACGTAATAATGTTAACGAAGATAACCATAATTTGCGTTATCAACGAGGTCAGTTAATAGAAGCTTATTCAGATAGGCAGCACAAACTAAAGAAAGTGGATTGAGATTTATGCAGCTTAAAGAGACCTAGTTTAAGTGTAAGTTGGTTTAGCGCAACTGCGGTGAAGAAGCATTATGAATGCAACATGAGTCTCAGCATAGGGCACTGAGATTCCATACATACATACTCGCAGTATGCAAACCATACTAAATGGTTTGGCTATTGGGGCATCTAAGCAAGGAATGCGCTTCGCCCCGTCGAAATGCAGAGTGCTGCTCCACGATTGGCACTCGCTCGTTCCCGCGCTCACAATATAAGTTACACGGCTTGAACAAGTGGATAGATTTGTCCACCTAGGCTGCTGCGTGTCGGCCGTTGGCACTGGTGAAAGCGACGTTTTCCTCCGCATCGCCAAAGCTCGGTTGGCGTTTATCAACTTGACACTTGTGGCGTTGTCGAAATGTCGCACTTTTGGTAAAGGGTCGTGTTTACATTGCCACTGCTGGCGCGATTTTACGATATGGAAGCGATTCATAGCCAGTTTGCGTGAATGAGATGCGCCGGCTCTTGGCTTTCGACGATGGGTGCTTGAGGAGCATCGCTGGTGTGTGATGGCAACAATGTGCCAGTAGAAGTGAAGTCAGACGTCGTGTGTCAGAGAATGCCAGTATTTCCTTCAACAAGCTGGCTTTGCTGTGTTAGTTAACATAGCAGGGTTACGTCTTGCGTATGTCAGCTGAGCGTTTACCCCGTTGCGCCCTCTTCGTCAGTGCAGGACTTGACTGGAACAGACCAAGTGGCGATCAGTCGTTCACTTGGCGACAGCATATGTAATCGCTGACTTCACGTCTTGTTGTCGCTGGATAAACACGCCTGGCTGGTTGGGGACCAAAAGACGAGGAGTGTCGATGGATGGAAACAATCCAGAAACCAGTAGAAGATCTGTGTACATTTTTGTTTGAAATAAGATGCTTAAGGCTTGACAACTGAAAAAGACAAAAATGTGAAAAAATGGCGTGTGAAAAAGGACAATAATAGCATAAGAGCTCCCCTCTTCTTGCGGCACTGGAGCTGAAGCATGTTGCTCAACTTCAGCTAACGTGCTATGATGAGAATGAGGTGATTAAACCAGTTTTCTTTCGGTGATTGCCATGGTATGTTTGGCTCTATGTCTATTCAACAGACTGCTACTAGTACTACAACTACTAACAACGCCATAAAGGAGTTGACAACACGCGTACCGTTTATGCGGTGTTCCCACTAGATGTGAGCCAATGTTCGAAGACGCCCGTGGTCGGACGAAGGTAGCCTCTTTGCATTCATCGATTAGACAGGCTGCGTTTCACAATCGTACGGTAAGGCTGCATGGGTGGACTTCCCACCTCAAGGCGAGCGTGTTGTTGTGCCGGCGCCAACACGCCCGAACAAATGCAACCTGTTCACTTTTGATTGACTTGAGCAGTACCGCTTAGTAATGGTCTGCGCACATCACCATTGGTGACATATTGATGTAGCCCGATAAGAGCAGTGAACCGCAAGCAACGATGGCCACGAATATGACGGTACTGGAGATAAACCGACCGAGGCGGACAAATTTCACCCCAGTAGAGAGTGACTAAATGTAGTGTTGTTGAGTCGACCACTAAGGCTATGGAGAGACCTCTTCTGACTCATAAAGACAGTTTCAGCTACCGCCCTACGAGAACAAACTGCAACAGGCATACGTTCGGCGTCGCACAGACAAGTAGAAGTCATAAACCTAGTTTGAAATCAGATTCGCTTTTATCAAGCAGTCAGATACCACGTAGAAAGCAATGGACCAACTGGTCAGAACATATGACATAAGTCTCGGCAAGCGGTCAGAATACATCCCGTCTGACGAGAAAGCAGTACAGATGCGGTTGGCGGAGAGTGAGATGAAGTGTATCATTCCACACCCAAGATACTAGTTTACTGAAAGAGAGCCGAGTCACTGGTGTCCAGAAAGCTGGTGTCACTTTGCAACAGGCAACAATCAGATAGATGGCAAATGCGAGCTTCCACGAATTAGGATTAATACATTAGACAAGTAAGGAAGTGAAAAGGCAACGCTACGTACTTTGCTGGCGGACGGATCGACAGACAAGGAATCGTTTGCCATCCCTCCGGATTCCCAAGTGGTTTCATCACCCGATTTCATGGTATTTAGGGACGTGGCCTCCGCAGAATCCGCGGATGCACTTGCATTGCGCTTGAAAAACGTGGTGGACGCAGGCGTTGCATGTTTATCGCCAACATTGTTACTAGAATCCGGTTTACAAGCACCTTCAACGTTGAGCGGGAGTCCCAGAGCATGCCATCTGGCCCCGCGATCGTGGGTAATGACAGTATGCAACGTCCGGTCGGGATTAAGCCGTGTGGCCAAGTACGTGCCACGCATGGAGGAAACGCGGTAGAAATCAGTGACTGGAGCATGGTTAGGATACAGATGTTGACGAAGTGACTCGGTGAAAATCTGCCCCGTGTTGTCTGAAGTAAAAAGCGTTCCGTATCCGGTGTCTGGAACATAATAAGTACAAAAAGAAAACCGAACAAAAATGGATGCGAACGATGCCGGTGTGTAAATCAAAAAGCGCGGGGAAAATGGAGTATTAAGTACCGAGATCATGCGATCGAATAAGTGATAACCTGTGAATTATGAGTTTTCGAAAACGAAATGGACAAAAGGGAGCGATATTCTGCCTACCATTTGGGGCATCCACATGAACGAAAGCCAGATCGTCCTCGACTTCCAGAACGGAATAGAACTGTAGGGAGAGAGATGGAAATCGGAAGTGTATGAAGAGTGATGATAAAAGAGTCAAAAGAGAGGAATTTCAAATTTGCATGAGGACTGATATTTTTACAATACATGGGTACATAAAATGACTATATACCAGAGACCGAAGCTGCTGTGTTCAAGGATAACCGACAACTGAAGCGTAGAACATTCCACGAGTCTCATGACTACCACTAACTATCAAAAACACTGATACAATGAGCGATTCCGGCGTAGTAGGGAGTCAGAGGATGCATTTCAGCGATACACACATACATAGAGCTGGCAGGTGGACCGTATAGACTTGAGACAGGGGAAATATGTATCATACCAAGGTACACACAGTAGACAACCTTACTGGAGCGAGTGCCAACCGATAAATAACAACAGAAGTCACTTTCAAGTGGGTTCGTTCTACTACAACCTAGTTGATGCTTTAGAACATAAACCAACGTTCTAAACAACAAATTTACTGCAAAATCACCTGTAAAAGAATAATGCAGCGCAACAGACAAGTACCATCTTAGACAGGATATTGCAAAGATGCGGGTGGAGAACATGTATCAAATAAGTGTGGTTGAGTTCCAGCATAGCGTACGGGATCAAAAGCCAACCGCGAACAGCTTACCCTCTCTGGCTGTACTGTGGGTAGATAAACAGGTCGGAACGTCTGGCCCCCATCGACAGACACGCTGAGCCGTGTGGTTTGATTCTCAGGGGTGGTAAAGTGAGCAACATAGAGGAACTGATTGCCCTTCCGATCTGGTAAAGGTAGGCTGGGTGATGCAACAAGGTTTCCTAACCCGGACTCGTAGGCATCATGCTCATTGAGTGAGTCGAATAACCCCGAAGTGTTTGTAGCCTGTGTGCGGACGCCGCGAGGTGCCCATACACGAACCACGTGATCCATCACAGAGATCCAAGTACGCCCAAAATCTGTGGATTTCACCAGTGTTTGATTTGTAGTTTCATCTAGGACAGTGAAGCAGAAAGAGTAAAGAAAGAATTGCGTTAACGAGCAAAACAACGCAAACCGAAATAGTTTTAACAAGTATCATGGAACAATGGAATTATCACGGATATAAAAGCGAATGCTTAAGAGCTTTCCGTAGGAAAAGAGTGAGATCACATGTGGATGTATCAAAATAACAAACGTCTAGCAGTGGACTTACTGCAAATTTCAAGTGTATACATTGTTTGGTCACGTTGTCGCCTGTCCAAGTAATCTGGGTCAACTCATGTAATGTAGGTGGCGCAGTGCATCATCGAGTATTGAATTCGGACAACGTAGGAACAGAAATTACAAAATGCGGAAGTAGGTTCCACGGCTGGGATATACAAAATGAGAAAAAATTCCGGTGGCATTCCAACCGGCTATATCGTGTCCAACTTCAAATGGTGGTCTCTCAGTGAGGTACTGTAGCAGTAGGGCTAAGTGTTGGTTGGGTGCGTTCTTCCAATCGATATTGGTAGGTGTTCTAGTGGCGTGTGCTCATTATTTTGCAATTGACAGGGTTAGCCTCAAGCCAGTTATGCGTCGCTCACCCGTAAGCCCATGTCGAGATTACCTTGCAGTGCTATTAGGTCGTCAACTCGTTTGATTGCCCGTCAAATCTTGAGGTAGCCCACAAACAGTACAAAATTCGACGTCAACACTTCCCCGAGGTCGTTTATGAACACGAGGAATAACCGTGGTTCTAGTACCGAGCCTTCCATCACCATGAGGCCCAAGCTTACCGTGGTGCGATGGTCTGCGTGCCTCAGCGATCCACTAGACTATGCTGGGTGGTGCTTCCTTGTACCTTCAGAGCCACTCATACCATATTGGTCAATGGTTAGAGGCTAGACAAACTCAGCCTTCTAGTCCTCCAGGTTGGGGGATGGAATGAGGGTGCTTGCATATTCCTTAAAACGGACTCCTTGTAGCCTACTGCTAAACCTGCTACCTTGCGGTTAGGTTTTTGAACCAAAGAATTTGGTTAGGAACCCTAATCTCCTGTCTAGACCAGGGCAATCTGACAGCATCCTGCCCACGCAATACTATGAATCTTTCCTCAAACGATTTCCTGATGCTCTGGCCACCGCAGAGAATAATCAACGATGTCCTACCTGTTGTATCGAGCAGGGTGGATAGGGGTTTGGATGCTAAGGCTCAAGCCTTCCTGTGTTCTTATTCCCCGCTCACGCTTTTGCATCCCTATCGCCCAGTTCCAACTTCACTTCTATCCCATTCGTTTTCAACACCCCAAGTTTTGGTCCTCCGTCGTCATGCTTTGATAGGCGATTATCTTTTAGCTTCAACTAAAATGCGAATGCAGAGTGTCAGTCTTGCTCCATCTACAAGCCCATGTCTAACCAAGTGCTCAAGCTCAGTTCATCGGCTTCTATTTGGAGCCTTTGATCCTCCCTCAGATTGGTATGCCTCAACATACGCACACTGTTACAGGTCGGTCAACAAGCAGCGCTTGCCCGAACATTAGAGACCCTCTCGATCAGTATCTGCTGCCGATCGGAAACCCGCCTACAAGACCGGAACTCTGCGATCCCCTTCAAGTGACCCTAACAGTGCTTTCTCATTGTGCCTATCCAGAGACGATGCAGCTTCGAGTACCTGTCAAGCCGGTGTTGATATTGCCCTGAGTTCCCGGTCTGAAGCTGCTTTGGTTGACTGGCTCCCAATCAGTAGCCGGAGGCGTGCGGTTCGATTGGTTGGCTAGTTCAAAGCTTCGAAGTCGAGCGCGACTAACAGGTGTCTGTTTGTCATCGCTGCTTACGCCCCCATAAACTGTAGAGATGCTTCGGTAAAAGACGACTTCAATCGTCAACTGAACGAGCTCCTTTGCCACAGAAGAAGTACAGACATTGTAGTGCTGATTGGGGATCTGAACGCTCAACTTGGGAAATTGTTGACTGATGAATTGCATCTGGGCGGCCAACATGGTGTAGACTCCCGTAATGATAACGGTGAGCGGTTACTTCATTTGTGTGAAGATGTTCACTTATTTCTTGCGAACACTAACTTCCGACACAGAACCCGTCGGAAGGTGACTTAGCGCACACCAGCTTCGAACCAACCATGGACGCAAATAGATCACATCGCGATCAGTTATCGCTGGAGAGGCTGGGTTCAAAACTGTCACTCGATTTGGAGCACATGTGTGGACACTGACCATGCACTTGCATGTGTTGATCTGCGGGTGCGTTTTGTCAGTCGTTCTTGACGACCTTGTAAGCGCATAAACACCAGCCAACTGGTGAAGCCAGGTGCTCTGAATGCACATCGAAATAGGCTGGAGATCAGGTTAAGCAAGCGCTCACTGAATACAGTTGAAGATCACTGGTCGCATGCTCACTAGAGCTAAGTAGAAGCAGGTAAATCAGCACGTGGTAAATCCATTACTCAAAATAAACATTGGGTCCTCTTACATTCTCTGGAACTTATAACGATCGCCAGCGCATTCCGCCTAGAAGCGAACACAATGGGGCTCCCAAGGACATCAGGGCAAAACTACGTGGAGGCCTGAAGAGAGACCGCGAGTCATGGTGGTCTAATTGTGCGTCAGAGATGGAAGAGGCCGCTGTCCTTGGTAATCATCGGGAGTTGTTGCGTCCCCTACGGGAAACAGGCAGCAGGAAACCTGGTGTTAATGAAACCATACGTGATGAGAGTGGACAGCCTATCCACAACTTGTCAAAACGTTTGGAGCGTTGAGATAAGCATTTGGAAAAGCAATTGAACCGGCCAGAATTGTTCGATTTCTCACCAGGCAGTGATCGCCCTGCTCCCACGACTGTTCCTTGGGTCCTCCCTCACGCTGGGAAGCCGAAGATGAAATTGGACTGTTGTAGTTGATGAGCTTCATCTGGCCCTCTTCAAATTCGGGGGCGGTGCTCCTGTTGATGGTTTACAGGAATTGCAAGTGAAGGCGTGGGGTAGGAAACTGTCCCAACCGACTGCAGCCGCTCCGTTATACTCCCGATCGTCAAAGGAGCGTTCGGAATGCGGCAACCATAGAGGAGTCAGTCTGATCCCATCGCCTCCAAATTACCTGCCACCGTAATCCTTCGCAGACTGACTGGCGATCGTGAAAGCCAGATTCGTGAGGTTTCGTCGTGGTCAAGGATGCACCGACCACATATTCACATTCCGTCAATTGTTGGAGCACAGTCACATATATTGGCAGCCCACCGTTGTCGTGTTCCTCGACATCAAAGGCGTCTTCAATTCGGTGGATCGAGTGCACTTTGGGACTGTCTACTCAGGAGAGGTGTGCACGAGTAGTATGTACATATTATGCGAGCGCTTTACGTGCGTAGTTGGGGCAGAGTGAGGGATTACGGCAAGCTGTCACCACCCTTCAATATCTCCAGCAGTGTAAGCTAAGGATGCCCGCTGTCACCTTTCTTCTTCAACATCGCTATTGACGAAATCGTGGAGATCGCGTTCACAGGACAGAATTAGAAAGCGTAAAGCTGCTCCCGGAAGAAAGACTTATTGAGTTGGAGTATGCAGATGATATTGCCCTCATATGTGACAGTTCCCAGACGTGCCAAGTCGCATATATATATATATATATATATATATATATATATATATATATATATATATATATATATATCTGTGTACAGATATTGTGCCCTCGGAACAATGGCGGAATAGGAAAACAGGATTAGAGCAAAGGAAGAAAGAAAAACGAATAATTGTTGGTTCGGTGTTGCTCCTCCCAACCCTGACACCCCATAACTGGCTTCGTCCTCTTTTGGACTTATCAGATGGAGATAGCCTGAGCTGGGGTGGACCTCGAGCGTAGTGTTCAAAGCTTGACGCTTTGACCACTATGGCTCTACGATCCGCAAGCAACGCTTGACACTTGAAAAACGAGCAATATTTTATCCATTTTCTCACCCCCCCCCGGATAGCAAAGGCACAAAAGGCTTTGGCTAATCTTCGCCACCTACGGCGCCGGCTCGACATCACTCTCTCCCTGAAGGGTAGAGTGTACGATGCAGCTGTACGTTCGACCCTACCGTACGTTTGCGAAACCTGGCCCACTAGACCAGCTGACACAAGGTCGCTAGTTACGTTCGAGTACCGGTGCCTTCGCAGTTTGGCTTATATCTGGTGGGAACACCGCGTGAGCAATCAGCGTGTTCGACGCCTTGCATATGGCACAGGAAAAAGAAGCGAACCGCTCAGTGCCGTTATTTCACGCACCAGATTCCGATGGTTGGGCCACGTGTTGCGCATGCCAGCTCGCCGACTCCCGTGAGGTGCTCTGTTTGCGCTCCGGGATTGTGGTTGGAAGAAGAGGAGAGGGTGCCAAGCGATGAGTTTGTCAAGAAGAATGAAGGCCCTTAATTTGAAGTTGGCCTCAGCTAAAGCCTCTCAGCTTCCTTGTTGCGGACCGAAGAACGATGAACACGTTTGGCTGGATATACTTGTTGACATGACTAGGAGTCGACATTAATGGCGTTTGCGCTGTGAGATTCTTTGTCCCTCCTCCTCCAACCACGACTTCTTCTACGCACAATGGCCGGCTGTTAGCTCTCCGGAACGATGTCCATCTGTTACTGGTGAGTCGATCGGCGTGCCTCTGTTTCAGGTCATTTTTCTTTCCTTAGTATTGTGGCACAAAAGTTGAGGTGTCTTTCACCAGCAGCCAATGTGTGTAATGAATGAATGAGCGAACCTTGTTAGACGCCACAATGAACCTCAATCAGGCTGAAGAGATTGCTATGAACCTGCACGTTCAACCATTGTTGCAATAAGAATGAATGAATCTAGCCCAGGATAGGGTCACCGATCACGTAGTTCCGAAGCTTGTGAAGAAGAATCCCGCGATCATGGTGATCAAACGCCTTCAAGAAATCAAAGTAAGTGGCGTCGACTCCTTCTCCAACATCGAGAGATTCCGTTTAACTAGCACGGGCTAACAAAAGATTTGTCGTACATGAGCGGTTTTAACGGAATC